CACACAGACAACCTCTCGTCAATATGCGTTTTTCGCATTGCATTGCTGCAAAAAACGCATAATAAGCTAGAAGCCATAAAGAGACCAGCAGCTATGCACAAAAACACGTTGCTTAAACAAAACACCTCAGAACGAATGCTTTAATAAAGAAATATACAATCTTACCTCCTTCTGCATGTATTCAATCATTTTAGCTCGAATTTGTCTTATTTTTGAAGATTTCGCGTAACTCGTCTTCTTCAGTTGTCCAGCATTTTTCTTTGTGAAACCGATGCAGAAAAGACGCAATAAATAGCCGTCCGAAGTTTTGACGGCAACATTGGCCTCAATAAGTGTCTAAAACACCATTCAATTCGTCGGCAAACGAGAAAAAAGACGATTAAGATCGTATGAAACAAAAACTGCTTTTCATGGGTGCCATAAAAGCTGTTAAAAAGTCCCACAGGATGCGTAGCGAAATCTTTTCCCTTTCCTCAATCCCGATGCGATTCCCATTCACAGTAAAAGGTAAATCTCTGATGGCTTATGATATCCAAAAAAAAGATGTGAGTTCGTCGCAAACAAAAGACTTTATTAACAATGTATGGCTACACTTACATGCCACTTTTTGACGATCGAGCAAAGCTTGTCACGTGTAAGCCTCATTCCGTGAAAATTGGTCAAACACGTGCGGCCCTGGACATCCTCACAAATTAGGCGCATTTTTCGAAATTCCGATTCCGCATTGTTCAGATCACCAAGTGACACCTCGTACACACGTCCCTTCAGACCTTCGCTTGCAATTTCTGGAAAGCAATACATTTTAAACAGGGCTATTCGCAAGCTAATGGCTTACGGTCCGATGGCATTCGGTACGAGGAACACATTTTCTATGGTTAATTCATTCGTTTTGATAATATATTGATACTGGAACAGGCTACAGAATCAAAACCGTTGCCTAGAAGCACCACTCATTAAGGAGAACAATCGATATCCTTCCCAAAAAATCTTCGAATAAAAGCTGCCTTCATTCTAGAAATATATTCAGAAAGCTTTTTACACTGACTTTGTCAGTCGCCTTTGTGCATCCCTGACCTATTCTTTAAACAAACTGTCGAAAAAGCTCCACGTTTTTGGCCCTTTTCAATAAAGGTCGATTTTTTGCCGTCCGAAAGAGAGAGGTGCCTTAGAAAGCCCCGTCACCTCTTAATTCTGAATGAGCACCGATCAGCTAAACGAATTCTTGTTCGCTAACTTCCAATGATGAGCAACTCATGAGCCCAGCTGGCCGGTAAGTGAAGCCCTACATGATGAGCTATGATGTACATAATTCCACGCATGGAAAACAATTTGGGAGTGATTATTAGCAAAATACCCAACATGCCATGTACTACAAAGTTGACAACCAGAGGAGCTATCGATTCGAAGAACAGCAGTGGCGCAAACAGCAAGGAGCAAGAAAGATTTTCACTACAAACATGCCGATGGTATAAATCACGCAGATAAAAAAGACGAAGATGACGGAGTTCACCAAACAAACAGGATGAATGTAAGCAAAGGATTAGGAAAATTATGCATTTTTATGCGTTTTTTTTTTTTTCAGCTATGCAATGCAAAAACGCATACTGACGAGGGGTTGTCCGTGTGTCTGTGTGTGCGTCTGTCCCGATTATTCATCTCAAAACCTATAAAAGCTGCAGGGCTGAAATTTCGGGGCACGTACCGGCCCCAGTCCCCAAAATTAGCAACATCACCCGCGTAGCACCCCCGCACGGGCCCGCCAAAATTTTTTTCGTGTAAGTTTATAACTCGGAACTGAGAAGCTAGAACGCTGAAATCTTGAGGGGACGTTTCCCGCCCAAGTAAGTGATAACTCAGGAGCCAGGAAAACTAGAAAGCTGAAATTTTAAGGGAGTGTTTC